GAAATTTGCTAGTCAAAAACGAAGGGGAAGCCATTTCAGACAGAAGAATAATAGGAATGAAGATAATAAGTGTGAAATACTCATTGTATGAAAGACAACCCATCAGCTGAATGGTCTGGCTATAGGAGAGGACATGCCATGAAGAAAAAAAAAATTAAATTGTGGCTCCATTTAACCTTCAATGCAAAGCCAAATGGACTAGATTAAGGTTCCTGAAATTGAGAAAAATACAGTGCTTGACACTGTTTAAAGGAATTTAATAGAGATAAATGCCATATTATGGGAAAAAAAGTCAATGATGATGGTGATGTTCAGGAAGTTTTTATGAAGGTCCTTTTTTAAAAAGTTAATCAAAATTCATGTTCTGTCACATAGTGACTAATTAATTACAAATGAACCAATGACCACCAATGTGTTTTCCATCTCTAAACTTATTCTTTTCTTTTTACATACATACCTGAAAATTTGAATTTTTCAAAACCTACAATGCCTTTCAGAAATAGTCTTTTTAAAAATGACTCATGTAACTTTACATAGTACATTTTGAACACATAATAAATTCTCAAAAAAAGAAAAGCTAAGTAATGTGTAAATTGCCTTTTCATTTTTTTAAATGTTTAGGTTAACACATGTGATAACTCAGTCCTAGAAGAAAACCCTACAGTCTTCCTGCAGTGGTTCAGGAAACATTTTGACTTCCATTCTTTGTATCCAACAGTAAACAGTTGATATTTATTTGTCCATATACTGATCAAAGCTCTGCATTTCATATTCTTCAGTGGTTTTCTGGGACCAAATATCTTAGGTATTACTAAATAATAAATATTTAAATTTTTAAAAAGCAAAAATTGTATCTGTTAACAGGAATAAACCAATTTTAAAAATGTTTGAACTATTTGTAAATCTTCATTATGAATTTTAACCTTAATTAACCTTAATGTTGAAATACTAAATCCTACCCTTTCAGGGGCTTCCATCTTGCTTTTTTATAATATCAAGTTTTATGAATAATTTAGAAACTTAAGTTACCCAAGTATACAAAGAGACTTATGAGGCATGAACTGACCTATGCACAAACTTCCATCATGAGAAAATGTGATTCTTACCTCCTTATAGAAAATTTGGGTTAATGCT